TCCAGCTCTCTCGCTCGCTCTAGCTTGCTATCTCTTTCGCTCACGCGACTAACTAACTTCTATTTAGTGGGTATAAAGCGCGCCTTGACCGCCTGCCCCATAGGCAAATGCAGATGTTGCTGCTGCTGCTGTTGCTGTTGCTGCTGTTGCTGCTGTTGCTGCTGCTGCGCCGCCGCCTGCTGCTGCATGTGCTGATTGATCTGCTGCTGTATGGATAGGCCGCTGGCACTGCTGATGATGTGCTGACTATGCAACGGCTCGTTGATTTCAATTTTAATGGCCGTAGCTGCCAGTGAGGTCTTGTTCTTGTTTTTGGGCGGTCTGCCACCTGAAAGAGAGGACCACAAATTAACATAGGTATGTAACAATTGAAGATGTGCTAAAGCTCAAATTTAGTCAAATCAGTCGACTAGCCGATATGACCCCTGTACACTTTCAACAAAATATATATATTATGCAAACTTAACAAGTTTATTAAGTACACAAATTGTGGACTATGACTAAATAGACGGGGCTCTCGAAATAACAGAAGGAAGCCTTTTAGATATTTGGTCTAGAAATGCCTTTTGCAATTAGTAAAGCTTGACATCTAAAAAAAGAAGTATGGAACTTTATGATATAGCATGAAGCATAGATAGAATGTTGTTCTTTGGTAGAACTTGAATATACAAAAAGGTTATGCATACCATTTGAGAGATTGAGAGACTAGTTTGCATAGAAACAGACAGACTTATATATACCCTATAGGGTCGAGATGCGTTAGACATTATCTGACAGAGTTAACATTTGCTAGACATGTCTATTGACCTGAAATGGCTGCTATTAATCGGAGCTGTCCATGCAAATCCCTAATATAACTATTAATTATCTATATAAACCTACATGCTTAATAAAACCCTACTTAACAATTTTCTGCTCTACTTAAAGTTGGCCTGCGGCTCTCTCTTAAATATTTGCAAATATCGACAGGGTATCTGTTAGCTAGCAGCCGTCCGATTTGTTTACATTCGAGCTGTGGCTGGGGCACTTACGCTGCCCCGTCGTATGCTGCAGCGAGAGCGGCTGCCCGATCATGGCCAGCGGCTGCTGCGGCGACTGCAGGGTGATCGTCTTTTTGGATCGTTTCGGTGGCGGCAGCTCGTGATGCGAGTGATTGGTGAGCAAATGTTTGGATAGATGCTGTCGTACTGCAAAGGATTCGGCACAGTTGGCCACCGGGCAGTTGAGGTAGCGTCCCTCGACGTGGCGCTGCACATGCTTCTTGAGCAGCGACTCCTGATTGAAGCTGCTCGGGCATATGTCGCACTTGAATTTGAACTCATCGTGCATCTTTAGATGCTGATCGAGATGCGATTGCTGCAAGAATTTCTCATCGCATTTGCTGCACTCATACGGAAAGGCCAGGCCGTGTGTCTTCATGTGCGTATGCAGCTGTGACTGCAGCTTGAAGTTCTTTTCCGGACAGCGCGGACAATAGTAGCCGGTGACGCCGGCATGCGCCTGCAGATGTTGATTCAATGAGGTGACCTGCGTGAACTTCTTGCTGCACACATTGCAGCAATACTGCTGCACCTTGTGATGCGACTTCATGTGGTTGTTCAGATTGGTCACCTGCAAAGGCCAATTCAATTAGAGTTTGCCATCAAGGCAGATACAGATACGCTTACCTGGGCAAAGCTGCGTCCGCATTCCGGCTCATTGCACACAAAGGGACGCTCGCCCGTATGGAGACGTCGATGATTGTTAAGGTTTGTGATTTGGGTGAAGGTCTTGCCGCAGTCCACGCACTGATACGGCCGATCATTTGTGTGTATCCGCTCGTGGTTCCGCAAATTGGCCGCCTGCGTAAAGCCTGCAATTTGCGGTGGGCAATTAATTAATATCAGTTAAGTATACAAGAAGGCACAGTGCACACTGGCTATATGAAACCCATTCGATGCCATTGTCATATTCGGTCTGAATATCGAAGCATCGATAAAGGTGTAAGGAAGCTTGCCCGACTGGGCGATACCCTGAATCTAAAATGAATATTTTTCTTTACATTCTCAAGATTATCTAATTTTCAAGTTATGCTAAAAAAAAATCAAGTCGCAAATTCGCTTTGATCAATATTATTAAAATGAGGGAAGATATAGATATAGGGAATATATCGCTAGCTACACCTGCAATATACCCACTTCTTTTCACAATTTGCTTAGTCTGCTTTATTTTTTCCCTCTACTCGATTTTTTGTAAGTTTTTTTGTTTACTTTTTATGTGTTGAGAAAAGAAATCAAACACAATCGCAAAACTGTTCCAACTAGACTCCTTGCTTTACTGTGTTAAGTCTACCGAGAGTTCATCATATCGAGTGTGCACTGTATTTATAAGCATTTATTGTATTATACATTGTAATTTAGCTCTGGTTTATTAAACTACTCTGGTTTATCAAACTAGACTCTACCGAGCGTGTTCACCATATCGAGTGTGCACTGTATGTTTAGTATTGATCAGCTTTGTC